GTGACAGGCGGGGATACTGACCACTATACTACCGAGGACATGTCTTGCGTGCGCAACGCAATGTAGACGAATTTTTAGTATAGTACGAGTAGGAAACGAGTCTCAATTAATAATTTATGTATTTATGTATTAAAGTAATTAATTATACATAAATTAAATGAGTCGTATGAAACAAAAACTATGTATATTTCACAGATCTTTTAAAATTATGTCTCGCTCACAACACAACTTTCAAATTTAAAAATACTGCATAGTAGAATATATTAAAAAACAATTAATTTTATATTGAAATAATTAATTTTACAAATCTCAGTTAATTTCAATTCTCAGAATAATTACAAAAGTAAGAATAAATGGCTTTCCAGCTAAGTCATAATTGATTTTTATTTAAATAGCTGTTTGCCCCGACAGGTGAGTAAATATTTTGGCACTGATTTGTGTAAATATTTTTTATTTTAATAAAGTGTGATTTCAAAAATCAATTTACTGAAGTTTATTAAAAATTATACTCAATTAACTGAGAGATTCATTCAAAGGCCAGTATTAAAACCATTAAAAACAGAACCATATTCAATTTTATATAAAACATAATAAATAAATTATTAGAATTTAGAAATATGTTGTGTAACTGGTAAGATACCAAAATCATAAATTGAATTATTTTATAGTTTAACGTGGCTAATACCAATATTTTCTTCTAATTCAAAGATATTCGATTTTTTTTTTTTCATTCCTGTGAATTGACAAAAACCATAGTTCCAGCGTTTTAAGAGTGCAGAATACAAAAACAAGTTACCATGAAATAAAAACAATGAACATAAAACAAATATATATGTTCTCAGAATGCAAATGTTAATGACTAATAAAAATTGAATAGTCATTAACAGTTAATTGCATAAAATAAAATAAAAAAAAATATTAGTATTATTTATATCATTAGACTATTAGTTTTTGAAGTGATTACCTTTTTATCAGACCTATATTATGACTCAACACCAAAACATAGCACATAAAACAAATCAAATAGATTTAAATCAAATCTAGTATTATCAAAAACTTTGTATTTGTATATGCAAAGTAAAACTAGTTTAGCATGACAACCATTTCCGTCATAATGACAAGAGTGCTTGCTAAATTATGCGCAAATAACCCGACGGCAGACATAATGAAAATTTAGAATTTCGGGTATATTTTCCACAAAAAACGTTATTGTTCGGTGATCAGCTTTGGATTAGGCGAATAATATAATTACACATGGTTTGATCTTTGACCTTTTTACTGTATAATGTATTCTGTTTCCGGCCGATGTCATCGACAGCACATATGAAATAAAACGTGTCATAGTGGCAAATAATGAAACAGATGCAATAACTGGACTATCATGTATATATGAAAATACGCAGTAAAATCGTCAGAAATAAAAAAATAGAAAAGTGGGCACAGAAAGAAATGTACTGAGCACGATCACTAAAAGGAAAAGCAATTGGATAGGACCAATTTTGCAAAAAGAGCGCTTCTTACATGACGTGGTCGAAGGTAAAATAGAAGAACTAAAAGATTTGGGAAGAAGAAGAATGCAGATGATTGATGGCTTACGCGAGATGAGAAAATACAAAGAACTGAAAGCCGAAGCATAGGGTCAAGGAATATAGTAGCAAAAGTATGAAAAGAAAATGAATAAAACCATAAAAATGAATAAAAAAGTTAATAATGGTAATAAATGGTAATGGGAATATTAAACAGAATAGGGAAAGGAAATTATTGATTTAACGTGATCTTATATCAAGGATCTGCCTTCGGAACTTCTATTCATTATTTTTATTTATCCTATAACACTATGATTTTCATAATACTACTAATAATTAACTATTATACATTGAATTATCACTTTACATAAATTTTATACAATGTTTTTGAAGAAAAAGTTGAAAAAAAATCTAATGATTTAGTTTTCGTGATATGTTTAATTGATAAATAAATGCAGAAGTTAATTCGTGAATGAGCTCAAAAGTGTGTACTAAACTTCTCAACTTTTACTCTGTAATACCAAGAATCTGCCTACATTGCTTTGCTTCTACCAAAATATGTCCTCGGTAGTATAGTGGTCAGTATCCCCGCCTGTCACGCGGGAGACCGGGGTTCGATTCCCCGCCGGGGAGTATATATTTTATTATATGCAATTTTGTTATATACCTGCATTATCATAGTCGTTTCACAAACTATAACAGTAAAGAGCCAAAATATAATAATGCTTCATCAAGCAGATCATAGTTTATTTTCCTGGCTTATATTGAAAGAATGTTTAATCAATATATTATACTAGTATTTGGACATTGTTTTATAGTTGCAACAGCACAACTATGGATTCAAGCACATATTTCTCAAGTAAGTGTTATCGATATCCCAGAAGATAGTAATTCACCGGTGAATGGACCCTTAAGAAATAATCTTAATGTAAGCTGAGTAAATTATACCTCTTCAGCATATATAAATTACTTTACTTATATTCTATGCCTTATATAACCCAAGTAATCTATACAACGAATTTCGCAGAACGGTACGGTAATGTGTATCTTACTTTTAGTTAAAGTAATTATGAAAACAAATACTGAAATTAGTCATTTTACCTGCAATATAAGGAATTTTATTAAAGAGGGTGTGGGGAAATGAAGCAGGCTAGTCATGATTGTAAAAAAACAATGGTACTTGCCATGTATATTTTTCATATCGTAATATTTTTATAGTCAATAAATTTGATATATTTTTTATGTTGGGAGTTTATAATTTAATATATTATCATAATCATTACAACTCCCACAAAGGTAAAACTAATTTAGTACATATAAATTTTTTATTATTCTATTAGACACTTGGGCGTTGCTGCATCGAACTGAAAATTATATAAGCCCTATAAGATGAATTCTAATAACTATTCTAATAACCTAATACGGATGTATTAATCATTGGGTTACTTAAAAAAACGAAAGTTCTGTTTGCTGTTAAATATGACTAAAAATGTAATTCGAAGTACCTATTTATACTTGTATGTATTATGAACACTATTCTTTCTGATCGTTATTCATTTTGACTAGATTCAGATATATACATATTTCATAAAAATAGCATACTAAAACTAATCAGCAGACATAAATAAAATTTATTAAAATTAAAAAATATGTAAAATTGTACATACAAATAATTCAAATTTTCTAGGCTAATGCAGCGGAATTATTTTAATGGTTAGATAAAAGGAAATCCTGGACATGCCACAAAATTATTCTGACAATATAAAAAGCAATCTGACAAAAAATGAAAATGATTGGCAAAGTGATTCTTTTAAAAAGAATAAACACAATAGAAGCTAAAAATTGTTCTATTGTAGTTTCATTGTTAATACGATCATTATATCCATTAAAATCAGTCGCTTCGTAGTAAATTTCATTACAAAAAACAATGCCGAAGTAAGTCGAGGCCAAATTTAGAAGGTTCATCATGAAGCAATGGAGTCCACATATATGTAAGTAAAATTTGTTTTTTGACAAAAAGTCAAATATAGGACTCTACAAAAGGTTATTGTGTTCAGTGGGAACGCACGTTCGAAAATCAATAACAAATTACTACTGATAAGATTAAAATAAATAATGTAGAATTCTTATCAGTTATTAGAACAAAGAATGCAATGTAACACTTCAAATGGTAATTAAAGAAATATTGTTCTAGATAAATTTATTACAAAGTGTTTTTCAATACAAAGTAGGTATAGGAGGGCTTTCAATAATGTTTTCTAAATGTTACTTTAAATTTAAAATCCAATTACGGAAAAGCTAAGATAAACTAGTTGGATTGGGTGCATAAATAAAATTTTAAGTTAGAAAAGTCCTTTCTCACAATCATGTTACTGTAATACGTAGAATATTATCGATCTTCTATTAGACACAAATAAAATACACCTTGAGTAACATAATCCGATAAGTATTGACGTTTTTTAATAATGTTAATTATATAAAGAAGTAAGGTCAGTTCTTGAAGTTAATCCATAATGAAAATAGCATAATAATAAACTTTTTTTTCTCATTTGTTTCTGATGTGTTTTATAAGTTAAAATTAGCGTTAAGATAAATTACAAGCTATAAATGTAATATCATACATATGAATTATTTCTCACAATCGGTTTAGTTTTTGTTTTAATTTTCAAGAAAAATCGAACAACTATATTGAATTATTCCAAATAGCATGCATAATCGAATTATTTTAATGCTAAAGGCCAAATTATTAAAAGGTAATCGCATATTAAAATATGATCTACCAAATATCAATTTTGTTGGAATCAAGATTGTATGAAAATATAGAGTCCATACTATACTGTATGGTACCAATATTTTTAATCTGAATTTAACCCTCAAATTTTAAACTTATTTCAAAGTAAGTTGAAGATTTAGTTGATACGGGCTGCACTAATTAAATTATTTTTTCAGGGTTAAAAAGTAGGTTTCGTGTAAAATAACGAAGAAATTTTTATTAGTCACCCATTTGTCTTTACGACGATTTGAATGACTACACTATAAAACTTAATATAAATGTTGATAGGTAATTCTTAATTATCGAGGAAAATAGAATAATCGGCATAAATATGTTATTTCCCTAGTATAAACGAATCTGAGCTGAATATGTTTTTTTTACGTAAGCTAAATATTGTTTTCTAATATTGAGCCCATATGATTATGTTAACATTCGGCCATATTCCGCTCAGATTCGGAATATGTAATTTTTAAAAATGATGAAAAATGTAACAATAATATTGATAATGATGAAAGCTAATAATTAGAATTCTAAATCAAATATTGAATATAATTAAGGATTTTTGTAGATATGGCCATAAGGAAGACGATAATTCAATGCATATTTAACTTGTTAACTCACAACATCTCTCAAACAAGCATGCCTTTTCCGTATTGCACAAATATTATATAAACAGTCGATAAAACATGATTTGTACTCACTTTTCTTTCTGCCCTCGGTGACTTTGTATGTCAGGTCATGAAAGGCCAACTCAACCGGGTCTCTCTTGACCAGGTGCGTCAACGTCCTCTGTTGGGACTGTCCCAAGGGCTGCTGAAGAGCAGTGATCTCTACCTTCACCGATCCGCTCTTCCTATCATGCAAAGCAATATCCTCTCGATTAGTAACTTGTAGGCTACTGCATTCACCATCATTATTAAAACACTTCATTCGCTCAGACATATCGAAATTTTAAATTTTAATTAATATTTATTTATACACACTAAACTCAAAAACAACTTCGAAATCGATTTATATCAACGGTATAACACAAGCGTCATTGCTGCATGACTAGCGCGAACTGACTGATTCGATTTTACTATGCAACACGGGCTGGTCTGACGGCGAACAATGCTATGATGTAGACACGAGGTATTAAAGCTATGGATGATAAAAATAAATAGATTTTCGCACGGTGCACCAAGAATTAATCCTGAGAGATACCTGGCAAAATTGACTGCAAGCACGCGAAATCGTTATCTTAAATTGGTTAGAGAGATAGTATCGCAAGGTTACAACGGTCAATTGTCTCAAATTAGAAAAGTTCGATGATAAAGATACAATTTATGGTAAATAAGATAAGTGGAATGAATTGGATAAATTCAGAGAATGTTTCTCGGGTGACAACAATTTAGATGCGAGAAGAGCCAACTGGGACCTCAGTGGGTGAGGCAAGAAGCAAAATGGCAACTCGGGACTTCCATCGTGGACTCTTTGTTTCTTGAACAGTAAACGCATATTAAACAACAGCGCTGATTATATTTTGATACAAAAAATATACAATTTAAATTTGATAAATCAATTTGAAATTGGCAAGGAAATAAAAATAAACAATTTTTATTATATAATTATAAATTAACTTAAGGGGACCATACGTCCCGGATTGGCCGAGACAGTCCTGATTTTCCGCCTTGCGTTCCGGATTTTTCTAAAAGAATATATTTGTCCCGGTTTTAGGTGTTTTGTCCCGAATTTTCAAAAATGTTTTGATTGCCAATATTTTCTTAAATATATTTCAACTAGAAAATTTTAACCGACAAAATGTGCACATAAATTTTTAGCTCACAAGCCCTCTTCCCCCTCTCACACACCTTATAATCCGTCCCGGATTTCATTCAAAAAAATATGGTCACCTTACTTTTATGCATATGTTCCTTGGACATATAACGTTAAACTAGAAAACTTATATAAAAAAATGATTTTTTTTAATAGTTTGAATGGTTAAAGTGAATTTTAATTAAGATAACAATTAGATTACGCGAATATAATATTGGACAGTTAATTAAGAAGTTTGTAATAGGCTTAAAAGGTTTGCCTAGTGATCTGAAGAATACTACTGACTAGTGAGCTCTGTGTTCGAAAAAAAATTCAATATCAAAAGAACATCACATTGAACAATGTCAGACTGACATCGCAGAGCACACCTTGAACTCCAGTTAAAAATAAATATATTCATTTATAAAATTGATATTGTGTATTAATTTCATAAAATAACAGATTCATAATGAATCTGCTTCTTTATAAACCACTATTTTTATATTTATAAAAACACTAATATGAATCTACATTTTTTTATCAATATTTTTTCGATATACATTGTAAGTGCTGTAGGAATCTTTTAATCCTATCATTTTTTCCCTTTTGATAATTATATATGCCTTTCAGAAAATGATTTTATATTTATCAAGTAAAGATAATAAATACTTTCAGAAATATAGTTATGTTTTGATTACAGACAAGAAATCAGTGTATTCAATTTTGTAATTAACATCGGACAAGGAAATTCACTTCATATGTAATCTATGTTTGTATGATTCATTTTATGGTATTACTCTAAAGTTTAAAAATATTTATAGCATAGAGTATCTGTACTTAGTTAGTGATCGTTATTTCACACAATTTATAACTTCCAAGATAAAATAATTTTTCGAAAGGCGTTTATCCGCATTGAAAGACCTTGATATGTTATAAAATATCATGCATTACGTTGATAAATTAATTTTAATAATATTTAAAGTATGATCTATATCGCTGCCACTGTTTAAAAATTCGCAAAAACAATTTTTAAGCAATTATATCAACCAGGTTTTAAAAAATAGATAAACAAGCAGCACTTTGAGAAAAACGAAAACAACCATATTATCTATTAGGTTATAAATCTTACAAGTAAATAATATATCAAATCTCAGATAACGATCAAAATCATATATTAAGTTTCAAATATGAGGAAAGGTAACAAGTAAAACAAATAATTTTTCACAAAATTGAAACAACTTTAACTATTTTTAGATTTTTTAATTTATAAGACCACAATTGTCAGAGGAGTTCCTAACCAACTTTAGAAAAAGTTTGATTAAAACAAGCGAAAAAAATGTGAAAAATTGCTTCTTCTGATGAATTAAAGTTTTTAATCAACTACATACTCAAATAGAAAAAATAAATATTTTGTTCAAGCCAGAATGAAATAAATCGATATATTTGGAAAAAGTATCTTGTCTGCATGCTAGTTCCTGCAATGTTGTTTGCGATGAAACACTAAAAAACAGTATTTATTTTTCTAAACACTATTTATTTATTATAAAAATGTTTTTTTTTATAAATTCTTTTATTAGTGTGACTGCAGTATAAGTGATTGCTAAGTGTTGATTTTATACATAATCAGTGAAGTTTGTCGAAATGTTATTTAGTGGAATGTAAATACAATAGATCTCTTGGAATTAATCTTAACCGCATAATCTCAGTTTAACCACAATAGTTATAATATTTAAATTTATGTGATGAGTATAAACTTTGCGAATGATTTTGCGCAATTAACTACATATAAGATAATTCTATTAATATATTACGTATAAACTTGTAGTTCTTAGGACAAAATGTTACTCAGCAATTTTACTTTTCACAATTTGTTTTAAAAAAAAATGTGTCTTTGTTATCTAACTAGAGAAGAGAAGCTTCGAAAAAATCAATTTTTTTAAGCAACTATTACAGTTGTAATACTAAAGTGATTTCATTAGAACAAATTTACCATATCAATTGTTAATACCTCTATAATTTGTATTATGTCATTATATTGACATAAATCATAAATTTTCCTCATGATTTAACACAAAATATTTATTTATAATCATTAAAACAGGTGCCATGTAAACGTAATTTACAAGCATTAATATATATAAGACTTAACTTGTGCCATTTTCAAAACAGAACGTAGAGTTCAATAACTACTACATTTGGCATAATTTTTTATGCTGATTAGTGAGCAATTAAATAAAAATAAAAACAATAACATTGGTGAAAAATGTTTATTTATGCCACTTGCAAAAAAATCTTAGCATCGCATATGAAATTCGGTCGGATATAGCGGCATGTCGAAATTTGCCAAGCATATTGACCACACTTTCATTTTTATTTTTTCCATTGCTAAGTGTATTACAAATGCAATCATGGTTCATAATTACAGACTCTATTACTCAACTGGAACCATTAACTGTGCATTATTACAAACACTTTAGCCGCTTCAAAAGATTCTGTGAAATAGTCAGTTTTTTTAATTAAAATGATGAAGGATTTTTCAACTGCAGTTTGCAGGAAAAAATGCATACACCGGAGAAAATATTTATTGCAGCTAGCAAGTGGTATTACACATGATAATAATTTATTGTAGACAATTGAAGTAACTGTGTAGTAAGCAAAGTATACTTTAAAAGACCTGAAAAATTTCTTAGGGTAACATTTATTAATTTAAAACCACCAATTATTCCAAAGAATTTTACTCTGAATATTTTTTATACAAGCAGGATTTTTGAAGTTCAGATCAAAAGTTATATACCCAAGCTTAAATATAAAGCTTTCACTAAACCCATTATAATCCCAATATCACCATTCAAGAGACAAAACATTGAATGTTATTTTGAGGAATGCGCAGACGTTGACCCAAGATGGTCATAAACATTCACGCAAAATGCAATATGTTAATGACGTTCTTTGCGAATTGTCAATAAATGCTCAAATTTTAACAAACAAAACCAAGAAACGAATGCTGCATACCAACATATTTACGTTCTGGGAAGTAGAAATAAAAATGTTGATTTTCAAATTCAAATAACTGCTGTAGCTGCAGCCGACGAGAACTAACTATATAACGATTCACAGAATATATATAAATATGAATATTGAATTGGGCATGTAAAAACAATCTACAAAAATCTTATTTAATAGCAATATAAAGCAAAATAGACCGTAAGCGTTGTTATGGCAACGCTATGTTACGCCATTATCTTCATATAAATTTGTATTTGCTGTGTAATCAGACTTTTTAGATATAAAACCTAATCTAGAAAACGCATAAACGTCAAAAAAAGCATGGTACCAAAACGGCTTCTTATAAAGTTGCAATTTTTGCATTTATAACACATAAGTGAACTTAGGTTTTATGAGTAAAACGCCAGTTCACACAACAAATGCTTCATGCATTTTTGACGGTTTTTAGTACCATTTTATGCGAGAAAAACCGTTGCCATAACAACGCTATGTTACGGTCTACTTTACTGAACTGGAGAGCTAGGCCCTGCGTCTACAGCACAAAAGACATGTCCTCGGTAGTATAGTGGTCAGTATCCCCGCCTGTCACGCGGGAGACCGGGGTTCGATTCCCCGCCGGGGAGGATATTTTTTCTATGTAGACTATTCTGACTGAGATCTTTTTGACCTAGAGAAACTAAGATTTACTAGTCTGAAATTTGGATAATAATAGTTTTACAAAATAAGCGCGAAAAGTGGGTGTCGAGTGTTTTGTGCATAGAACCATCTCGACATATTGATAGAAAACATGTAGGCATACGTAGATTGCCCAGCTATTTTACTAAAATGCAATTAATTTCATAATCAAGTCACTTTTAATAGTACTCTAATATTCTAAGGCTTCGTTCTAACTGTAAATCTTGTCATGACCACTCATGAACATTGTCATAGTCTCTATTTCGGAAGAGTATGAGCTGAGATTCTCCTTGTGCCGTTTAATTATGAACATAGCATTTTTATTTCATAATAGTAATAAAAAAAATACGATTTCAAAACTGAATCGATAAAAGATATAGTTTAGCTACTCCAGTAAAACTTTTGTACTGAGCAGAAAGCATGAATAATTTGCTAATAAATACTATGACATCTATAATTTGACTTCTTCCTAGTATTAATCATATAATTGTATTTATAATTGTAAGTATATTTGACTAACTATCTATTCTTGATAAAAAAAGATAGTTATTACAATTACAAACAATAATACACGTATAATATAATTATAATCACGATGCTTGATATTTGTAATGATTT